TATCCACTAATCGCCCTGCAATCTGTTGTGGGGACAAACACAAACAATTTCCGCTTCTTCTCCACGAGAAATACTGTTACAAACACAGCAATGCACTTCTTGCAACGACGGGAAAAATCCTCTTAATTCAAGAAATCCAAACTAACGAAGAAAATTTATTACCAAAAAACCACTTTAAAAAACCACCACGAAAGCTTCTTTATGTAAAAAGCTTCTGGCTGGACAAACAAAGAAACAAAAGGTCATGGAAAATAGCAGTTTTTGAATGATAGTCGAACTTCTAAGACGTCTGGAATAGTTCATTTCGAACAATTTTAAAAGGTTTGTGGGCGAATCGATTTTAATTTGAGCTGGAACAATAGCGTTAGAATAATGATTTTTGTAATTTAACAAGTAAACTTCTATCTGTGGGGTTCAAGTAAACCTGATTGATCTCATCAAAGAAAGAAGCGTGGGCCAGCCTAGGTTATTAAAGACAAGCTGATTTCGTGCTAATCAAACTGAAGCTGAAAAGAACTGCAATGAGCAGGGTTCTAGTAATAATGAAACCTTGGAAACAGTAGCAGTTTTAAGGGGGGTTTAGGGGAGTCATGGCCCCAGGCCCCGCGTTTATATTAGGCAAAAGGGGCCCCACACCTAAGAAAAAAGATAGAAATTGTAAACAACAAAGACCCCGCAGATTTTTTTGGCCCCGGGCCACGAAGTCCCTAAAACCACCACTCCTTGGAAAGCTAACTTGTTCTAAAGAAGAAAATGATCTATCATTGTTGTTCTGCTGAGAAAATTGAATAAATTATGCTACAAGAAATGACATGACAATAGCCTTTGACTCATAAGACAGAGAGCAATCAAATACTTGTCTCAAGCACCATTAATGGCAATCGTGCCATCGTAAGTTGGATATTGAAAAGGCGAGTTAGCTATCTTAAAGGCGCATAGTAGTATAGAGATGCTGGTATGTCTTCAATGCGGAATTACGCAAACAAGATGGCACAGGAGGATTAGTAGATGAATATAAAAATGAACGAATGAACGAATGACAAAATGAATGAATAAGTCAGTGAATACATGAATAGATGAAAATGAAAAAATGAATGAATGAATGAATCAATGAATGAATGAATCAATGAATCAATGAATGAATCAATGAATCAATGAATGAATCAATGAATGAATGAAAAATGAATGAATCAATGAATGAAAAATGAATGAATGAATCAATCAATCAATCAATGAATTAATCAATGAATTAATCAATGAATCAATTAATTAATCAATAAATCAATGAATCAAAGTATAAACAAGTATATTAAATGATAAATGAATTGAAGATTGAATGAAAGAAGGTGAATCATTTCTTTTCTATCAATTCTTTCTTTTTATGATTCACTCGTCAAATTGTTCCCGAAATATTCTTTATACTAAACCTGAGAAAACGACACTAACATAAATTATAAATTTCAAGGAGAAATTTTAGATAGGGAAAATTACTTGTGTGAGTGAGCCAGCTCGTGTTCTCTGTAGAGCTCGTGTTGTCAAAAATGCATTGCACCTGTTGTGACCAAGATAATGGGCAATTAGGGCTTGTTGTGATCATTTTAGCGAAACACGTCTTTGAAATATCGATCATTTTAGATGCCTTTTTTGCAAAAAGTAAAACATACATGAGGCCACTGCTGAGGATCAGTTGGAAGAACGACTGTTGCAAAATATTCATTTAAGAATTTTCACAATCATTATGGCGAAAGCTTCGGAAAAAGCATCAATACACAATATGAACAACTTAGGCTTAGGTAAAATCTTATGTCACGGGATTTCATTTCAGTACGGGAATATAGTCAGACGACCCGATTATAAACGAAGCCACACCCAGCCCATTTCGAATTCCAGGATCAGAATGGATTTTAGCTCAGATACAGCGAATGCGTGGCTTGTCACTACGTGAGCTGCAGGTTGGAATATCGTAATGGTTCCAATATAAAAGGCTCTAGTTTTAATGCTTAGGGGATAATTGAAGCTATTATCAATTTCCATGCTTATAAAGCGAGAGGAATATGTTATATATCAAGAGCAGCAATTCAAATTCTCTATAGAAAAATAGGAAGTAAGGCGAAACAAAGACAGTCTCGAAATGGCTTTTATACAAACGAGGTCATGTGAGATTTTAATGATTTTTTAGATTACTTCAATAGGTTGGTCGATCCTTTACCTTCAATTCCTTCTCTTTTCTCTGATTTATTTTAAAGGAACTGTTTATTACAAACATTGTGCAAACATCAAGATCTGGTCGAATACAAAAAAGACAGAAGAAGATTCCGCCTTCACCCCAAAATTTCACATTTTCTAGGTAGCTAAGCGGCAGAGTTTGTTAAGACGTGCCTTTTGTCTGAGAGCCACCTGATTTAACTTGGTCAGATAAGAACAACCACGTTTTTCGCAAAGTTGAAACAAAAAGCCGCTGACTGGAAATACAGCCATTGGCAAGGAAATATTTACATAAGGCTTTGGCTTTGCGATCAAGGTCACTGTTTTGAAATTGAACTCTAGGCTAAAAAGCAACAGTTTAAATTGCAGAATACAGCGACGCAGCTATCTTTCTGCTAGGAAGGCCCGTCAATATCCCACTTCCTTTAAGGAACAAACAGCATACGTATTCTAAAAAAGCGATTGTAATTGATCTTGATGATGTACTTTAACTTTGCGAGTATTTTGTAAAGCAGCTGAAACTGCTTCGAATGTACGAGTTTGCCTTAGTTAAAAAACATTATCTAACTTTCAAAACTAGGTTTTTCTTTTTTATCTCCTTCTTTATCTTGAAATTTCCTTCTCTAAAATCAGACATGTTCTTCTGATTTCCTCCCATTCATATCTGTTAAAACGCAAGAAACATGGTAAAATTGGTTGCACAGTGCTTGCCTGGCTATAACAAGCTATCGTGAAATAGAGCTCGACTAGCCTGCTTGACAAAACTGCGCCCACAACCAAATCACACAGCAAAATTTGCGCCCACAACCAAGTCACACAGCAACACACAGAAACAGAAATAAAATATTGATTTTGGTCATAGGAAGTTTTATAAAAGTGGGTAGAAGGCACATAAAGGCAAAAAAGGGTACCTCTGTTCCGTTGGCTCCAAATAGGAACATGACCACTCGTTTTGAAAAGCGGAAGACCCTTTCCCTTCTGTGCCCCCAGTTCCAAATGTATATATTTGGGGTATTTTATTTGGACTTTTAATTGGAAAAAACAGCAAACAATGATATCATTTCCCTTGTCATCAAGAGCTTCCTACATTTTCCTTTTAAAACCTCTTTCATTTAAGTAGACTCGTAGCCATCACGCTTTCATACAAAGTTTTCTTTGATATAGTTGGTAGGTGTCGTTGTCAAAATACAACATCAACGCCAGTGATTCTGTCTATACAGATCCATTAGCGATGTTTTCAAGCAAAAATAAATAGAAAAACAAAATTCAGGACATTTTGACCTTTTTCTTCAATTTCTGCAAATTTTCATTCTTTTTGCATTCAAGTTTTCATCTTCTATCTTTTTTCTTCCAAAATCTCAAATTTCCTTTTTGTTTGGAAATTTCCTCCAAAATGGAAGGACTGTTTAAAAAGTATGCACACAAACCTCAAGCATCAAAATAAATTTCATGCATATTCCATTATTCTTTACTAATTCTTTGAAAACTGAAACCATCACATCTTTTGAATGCTCTCTGACAAACAGTATCTACAAGAGAAGGGGGTAACCAGGGTAAATGCTCGGGGGCTGGGTCTCAAGAAGGGCCCGCGAAATGTTTTGCTAATACTGAAGGTCCCTCTTGCCCCTGCGCAACTACTCCTGTGCAAAAGTTCGTGTTGTTTAAAGCCCAAGACCAAGAGCCTGCTATCGACGGACCTGCATACAGAAATAATTCGTTAGTAATGCTGGGCACACAGCTTACTGTTGGGGGCAGAGCAATAAACTCTAAAACTGAAGGGCCAAAAGGTTACCAAATATGGGCTTGGGTTTTCAAATGCTTACCATCTTACAGAAAGTGCAGGGGCCATGGCAACCATACCCATTTCCTCATTTCCCCTTGTAATTTTCCCCTTATAATGCACCACATGTAATTTTCATCAAATTTTGAATACATTTTCTAACGATTTCCTTCTCTTATGTAGCGGTGTTCTAAGTTACCTTCATTCACCCATTTTGTTAATCAATATAAAATTGAAAAAAATCAAGGGGGAAATATGTAGAGAAACACAACATCATGACTGTCAACAAAGAAAGAAGAGAGAAGATTTACTCTCATTTAACTCAATTTTGCACTCATCAGACGAGAAAAGATTCTCTGAAGAATTTTTACTGATTTTCTCCTCTAATGGGGAAATTTTAGCCACAAATTTTAAATACAACATCGATTCAAGAAAAGAACGGAAGCCAAAAGCAATGGCAGCTTCTGGCAAGTGCTTCTACTGATCTTTTGAATTCCGATTGCTTTAAAAAATCAAAAGCCCAACTGTACCGGCTTGTTTTACGAGAGGTAATACAGTTCTTAGCAATAAATTTTGTGAAAGACTATGATATGCGGTACAGCACAATTTTCAAGAGCAATGTCGATCCTAAATACTTCTCAACACAGATTACAAGACATAAAAAGATAATTAGACCTCAAGAGCTTTCACAAGCCATTTGGGCTGTGCATTTAGCATCCTCTGTTTAGCCTACATTTTGTGCAGTTGCATCTCCCTCTAAACCTTGCAAGCTAAGATCGATTTAACAACACGCATAACGAAGAAGGAGAATGTACATATCGGTTGTTCCTACGTTTGACTGTACATGATGGTAACTTGACATTGCAATATATTCTTTCTGAATGAAGCTAAAATAGAAGAAATGAGAAAAGAGAATCGTGGGTAATATCACACCTAAAAGTTCCCCCTATAAATTAATTTTAGCAGTGATTGCGGAGCCTATTATGAGTTGAAAGTGATGGGTTGGAGTTCCAACAGCATTCGGAAATTATAGCCCAAAAGCTCGAATTGCCCTCAAAGTCCAAATATCTCCATCCTGATCCTTAGTGTTTTGCATACTTGTGCAAAACGTGTTGGAAATAGTTCAAGAAAGGTTTATACTGAGCCAGAATTCGATGAAATATCTAGGAAAAACACTTTTGCAAGCCATCTGCAGCAGCGCAAAACACTAAGCCAAAAATTGAGGAGGCAGGTGTTTTCTCTCCGATAATAATAAAGAGAGCTGTCGAATGGTTCATTCTGGCGATTGCTGGCTGTGGTCAAATTACTAAGATTTAAGTGTTATTCTATTCGCTAGATAGCAGAAGATCTCTAATTGAAACAGAATTCAACTTGTCAACAACATCTTTATGTTACAAAGTATAGTTCGAGAAGGTAAGAAAATTCATTGAGTTGGTCTGCTGCATCGTTATCATACTGAATGGCAAAATTTTATCTTCATCTTAAGAAATGTTATAAAGTTTCCAACCTTTGCAAACTTTTGAAGAATATGGTACAATTATGAGGGAGAAAAAGCTTTCCATCGACTTTAGAATCTTAGCAAGAGGCTTTTCCCCACTCTTCACGGTGATCAAACTGACAAAAAATTCATTTCAGTAGAAACGGGATATGGTCCCTCCAAGAGTTTTCCTGGCCCCTTGCTTGCCCCAGTTTCTTACCAAAGTTTATATTATAAGTTTGACGTTCTCTTCCATGTTCAATGTTTTTTTGACCATTTTGCTCAATGCGATCTTTGTTGCATTTATTTAACAAGCTAGGGCCCTGATAAGCAGTTTGGTTTATAACCGAGGTGAACAATAATGAGATTTTTGCTCCTTACCGAAGTCATCAGAAAAATTTTATTCTTGACAATCATTCGGAAGTCTCAACGAAGTCTGTACATCTGTGCATTCATGGTGAAAACCAATATCGACTGTGCACAAGTGCACACAGTACTATTTCCAGTCTATCCAACTGCTAATATGTTTTGGTTTGCGTTGAATGCTTGTTTTCGGCACTGAGCAAGATAGATGCACCAAATGAAGCGGAAGACACCAAGCCACAAAACGAGACTCAAAATTCTATTCCGTCATTTAAAACGACAATCCTTGATGTCACTGCAGATTGATAACTTTTTAAATATTTGAGAGTCAAAACTTTGAAAACTTCCTTTCAAGTAGACGAAATGATAAGACACCGTTGTACGTATCATTATGACTTAAGTCCCTTTTAAAGTTAATTTTTGGATTTATTCTGTTGAAAACGTAATAGAAAACGAAACTTCACTTCAGATGTTTGCGTTTCTAATCGACAGTGACCAGGGGCGAACTGACACTTTCTTCTAGGGTGGCTATGTGGCTCTGAAAGGGCCCATAGGGTGTGACCAGGCCATAAAAAAGGGTAATCACTCAGAAAACCAAATTCCGCGTATCATAAATGTTGACTTGAGATTTTCAAAATTCAATCCATTCGTTGGCAAAATATTATTCCAGAGTTTGACTTTCTAAAATTGGAAGAATCGATTTTATCGAATTCGACAGTCCAAGAGATCTATTTGCTCAAATCTGTTTAATGACGACTAGTATAAAATCTAGTATAGTAGAATATCTTCATTTCTAGATTCATCAACCGAAAAAAGTTATGCAAAACAGTCAACAGTTCTTCAACAACTTTTAATTCTTGTTGTGAATTGGTCAATAATTTGTGCATGATTGATTTGAGATTTCCTCTATTCATTAGAAAATATCAGCAGCAGTGTTTCTGGGTGAGAGTTTACTGAGGCTAGAGTCACACTATACCGGATTGCTATCGGAGCGGAGCAGAGCGGAGTAACTTTTACTCCGGAGTGATATTTAGGGTAGCAGTTACACTGCGACGCTTCGCTCGCTCATAAGCCTGTATTCCTTTGCATTTCTGGTACACAAAATCCACCAGATTAAATCTTTTGGTGATATTTTCGAATCTATGTGCTGTTGCGAATTCGTTTTCAATAGCTATGCATAAAATGATGAAAACAGCCATGAAACTAAGAGATAAATGATGGGGTTCGTAGGACGGATAGCGAGATTGTGTTGCTATCTGATGTGTTTAAGTATGTTTTACGTCCAAGGACCACTTCAATAAAATTTGGGAAGAGATGAAATTCAAATACGGAAATGTTGGGATGATTTCGGTTTGGCATTATCCAACAGCAACGAAATCTCAGAAATCGCTATTGTTCAGTGACGATCGAATTGTTTCAAGTAGAAAACAAAAAGAAAACCCTTGTTTCGAAATAGAGCATATCGGATCCGTGCGATTACATTACGACGCTCCGCTACGGAGTGACGCTGGAGTGATTTTCGTATCAGAGCGTTGTGTACCTGATTGGTGTGGCGTAGTGAAACTCAAACCCCTATCCGATTTCAAAGTTACTCCGCTCCAATAGCAATCCGGTATAGTGTAACTGGCACCTGAATAAACACTTATAGGATACTTCCCTACTACACAACTTTAATGTCATCGCATATTTAAATAGGTTATATACAGTGTCGAAAAGGGAAGGGAGCAACATGTAGGCTATACAGATACAATATTTGGAAGGCACACGGTATGCAATGCTTACACGAGACCCTTTTCTTTAAACAATTCAAACACGAATATTCAAATTCTTCTTCTTGCCTATCATCAGTGGTGGATTCAAGGGGGAGCAACCAGGGGCAGTTGCCCCTCTCTCACAGAGTTGAAGCAAGTCTGGTGCCCCTTTTTGGAAATTGCGCGCCGCTTTTGAAGAATGAGAATCGGGTGAAAAAGTCTCTGAGACCTATAGTTTAATCTACTTCAAGGATTACCTCAAAGATTACTTGTTCATTCTAAAAATGGATCAATTTTTGCTAGAAAGGTCACGCTCAGGAAGATAACAGAGGCTATCCATAAAGTTGTGTTGTTTATTCCTGACTTCACTAAAACATTATTCAATTTCTTCCGCTTAAAAGCTGTCCAATCTTCATGTCGTAATCAGACACAATAGAAATATAGAGCACGATTGTGATAGAATGTTTGTCTGTTGCGCCTAGGACCTTTGTTTCTCAGTCGATGTTGTAAATATCCCAGATCCATTTTCCGGCTGTCTCTAGAATGTCATAGGTGCAAAACTTTTTCTGCCCCCGTCATCTGAACAATCAATCTTACTTTCTGCAATAATGACGTTGAGTACTGTCTAACTAAACAGCCATACTCCAATTAAAAGTTAAACCAAAAGCGGCAAATTTTCTGGGACCTCATTTCGTTTTCTTGGCCTTACCGGGAAATTATATTGAAGTCAGCCCCTTTTTGCAGAGTACTCTAGTAGAGTTGGAGACACTATGGCGGAGCAGCTAATGTTCAGCCGGAAAATTTATCTATCTGTTTAGAGAGAAATTTAATAAGAGGCCTTAAGTAGTTAGGGTCCAAAATTGTTATATACAGCGTTTTCAGCGCCCCCATTACCAACTGCCTCTCCTTCAAAATTTCTCTAGATCCGCTCCTGGCCGATGAAAACGCTGATGCCATCAAATTGCAAATGCCAGCAGGTTTTCTCTGAGCATTTCAATGCTGACATTCGCTAAAGGCGAAATCTTGTAAAGAAAGCTCTTATTGCTCTCCTGCTTCATCTTCATGTCAACAAATCTTCGTTGGTCTAGCATTACTGGTAGCGATGATCTTCTCTTTTCTTATTTCCTGCTTTAAATTTAAAATTATCTTTATACATTGGAGCCCCCGCCCCCCCCCCCAATAATTGCCACCTAAGCTTTATATCCTGTATAACAGTGTACTGAGTGGGAATAGATATAATGGGCAGCCGCCAACACCCGCCTCCCAATATAAATTTCGTTCCCACTGCACTGTCTCTAACATTTGCTGTTTCATATCATATTGTCAAAACACGGATGAAAAATGTGACTTATATCAATTCATAAATAAAACAAGGATGTTTTATAATCAAGCAATGAATTCGAGAGCGGAAATAGAAGATAGGAGTACGATCCTCCGCTTCTCTGCTTGGCATTCTGTTTACGCGCTCGAAATTGGTACCCAGGGTATAGGCCAGATTGAGTCCAGGGTACCCAGGGTACAGGCCAGATTGAGCATATGGCTGAAATAACGGAAACTAGGGTTTGGGTGGTTATCGTTTTTAGATATATTGAAAAACAAGGGGCCCAGAATGGAGCCCTGTTGTACCCCTATTGAGACGCGCTTTGGTGAGCTATACGCTGATCCTACTGACTCTTTGGGTTCTATTTAGGTAACTATAAACTAGTTTCAAATGCATTTTTCTTGAAGCCACAGGCTTCTACTTTGGTAACCCTGTTTAGCACCTTTGAAACACCTTAAGAGTAATAAACAAACAACATGTTTCTGCAAACATAAGGAGGGCTATAATGTCGAGAACAAAGCTCAAAAACAAAGCAAATAGATATGAAAGAGAAGACGATTATATGAAGTATAAACAACAATAAAACATGGTGGTTCAGATGAACAGAAAAGGAAAACATGAATTTTATCAGTCGATAGAAGCAATCTCGATTGAAAATGATAGAAAAATTTTGGAAATCAGTAAAACCGATGTTTTTAAACGGGAATCCAATGGGAGAAAAAACTACCCTTGTTAAAGGATAGCTATGTCTAGATGAAACAGGTTTAGTGGGGACAATCATGATTGATCAGTCGAAAGAATATGATTTATACCCTATGATTTACTATTGCATACCCTATTGCATCCCAGGGCAACCCTAACATATTTGGGGCACCCGGGCCTTAGCATAGATGGGGAATCGCAGAATCTGAGAAAATTTCATGAAATTGAATACTTATGTGAATGCTGAAAACTTTGTCTCCTCGGCTACAAGAACGTCAGTTAATGAGTCGAACAAAACATTTTGTTACCTAAATATGAATTATCAAAAAATTGGCCTACGTTTCCTTAATCATAAAAGGGTCTCACTCTCAAATCTTTATTTTTCTTGTCCTTGCATGCTTAAGCTTGCCGTTAGGATTTTCTGCATCTAGACCTCTTAAAATGTCAATATTTCATGACATGAAACACAAGTCTGATGTCCCGAAAAAGTCTTTTACACTCTTCAGAGCGGAGAAGCTTCTTTATCCAGGAGCCAGACTGCAAGGCACTGTCATCTGAAGTCTTAAGGCAATCACTATCTTTGGAAACGCTACTTGAGTGTGACTGGTTTCAGCAAGATCCAGGAGAACTGTCCAGTTGGTTTTTCTATTGTTCCTACCTCTTTCCTAATTTTTTGTCTTTCACTTTTGTGGTCCTCTGTTCAATTTCTCCCTCAGTTTTTTCACATTATATTTATGAAAGATATTAACGTGATATTCACGAAAGATATTCACGTGATATTCATGAAAGATATTCACGTGTTACTCATGAAACATAGTCACGTGATATGCACGAAAGATATTCACGTGTTACTCATGAAACATAGTCACGTGATATGCACGAAAGATATTCACGTGATATGCACGAAAGATATTCACGTGATATTCATGAAAGATATTCACGTGTTACTCATGAAACATAGTCACGTGATATGCACGAAAGATATTCACGTGTTACTCATGAAACATAGTCACGTGATATGCACGAAAGATATTCACGTGATATGCACGAAAGATATTCACGTGATATTCACGAAACATAGTCACGTGATATTCACGAAAGATATTCACGTGATATTCACGAAAGATATTCACGTGATATTCACGAAAGATATTCACGTGATATGCACGAAAGATATTCACGTGATATGCACGAAAGATATTCACGTGATATTCATGAAAGATATTCAGGTGATATGCACGAAAGATATTCACGTGATATGCACGAAAGATATTCAGGTGATATGCACGAAAGATATTCACGTGATATTCACGAAAGATATTCATGTGATATTCACGAAAGATATTCACGTGATATTCACGAAAGATATTCACGTGATATTCACGAAAGATATTCACGTGATATGCACGAAAGATATTCACGTGATATGCACGAAAGATATTCACGTGATATTCACGAAAGATATTCACGTGATATTATTTAAAAGTTTTCTTGCAAACTTGAAGAAATCGCTAACCTCATTTACAATATCCTCATCAAAGTGATCAGGGTATGCTTTTGTCAAGTTTTTATATTGCTTTGTAACATAATTGTCTTCAGAACTGCAAAGAAATCCAAACATTGCTTTAATGGATTCTTCACTGGCCTTTTCTTTTTCAAGTTCTTATTGCAAGCTTTCTAGGATTGGTATTTCCGTAGAAACTCTAAGACCCCAAGAATTCTATTCCAGTTGTCGTGCCTTCAAATCTTCTTGGTGTTTTATTCCTCCTTACGTTGTCCTGAAAATGTTATCAAGTGTCATTAGTGAACAACTTCTCTAACGATGTTCAAGGAATTTTTCCTTCCTTCGCAATTCTCTTACAAATGACTGCTGGCTACTGTGATTTTATTGCTGGAGCAACAGGTTAGTTTTTGGAGCAATAGGTTTATCTAGTAAATTCTATCTAGCAAATCATATCAAAACAGGACAAACAGCTCGAGTTTCTCGGCAATTGAATGTGCATCTTACAGCGTCATGAGTCTTTTGTAAATTTTGTTCAGTTACGAAAGCCCTAACGGCAGCATGCCTTGCAGAACGGCGGGTCTTACATACAGGCCCTCTTATATACATGTTATGTACTTGGCAAGTTTTATAAGATCCCATTGTTATATTTAAGCTTCGTGTGCACTTCTTGCACAATTGAGAAGAAAGCTACTGCATGTAAGCAACATTCGGCAGTCACGTTCCCAGAAAGGTTCAATGAGTGACTTGTACAAGGAGCGTATGGATTACAGCTATCAATTTCTTGTAACTTTGCTTTAACTCTGGAAATTATTTTCTACGGTAACAAGGCGGAATTTCGTCCTCATCTAACTAGATGCATGGTTCACAATTTCTTTTTGCCAATCAGAGCTCGCCGATTTTGCCTAGTTTGTTCCAAACTTTCCGAAAAGCAACCTTAGCTGTGAAGGAAAAGCACTACTAGAGTTTTAGGTCACCACAAAAATATACTCGAGATAATTTCGGCCTAAATTGAAAACTTATAATTTTCATAAAATTTACTAAAAAATTACCGCTGCTTTTGAGTGAACTCTACGTAATATTCAAAAAATCTAAGAAAAACCTGATTTATCTCCCGGGGGGCTTTGGCCTATTTAATCAGTACCTATTGCAAATAGCCGTTCATGCAATAAAACTTACGCAAAATGTAGGTGCTGTGAGAAGAAAAGAGTATCCTTTCATTTGTAAAGAAATACAATTCGTAAACAAATCCGAGTACTAGTATAGCCTCTAAAAAGGTTTTTTCAATGTTTATGTTTATTTAAAGGGTTAAAGCAACACATTATAAAAGTATTCATTATCTTTGTCACTTTTTACAATTTATTTTTTATTTTTAGGATGTGAGAAAGAAGTGAAAAATATGAAAATTAACAGGAAGACGACATTTTTAACATAAGAAAACGGGTTTCTTTTGTTAAAAACATCTAAGAAAAGACTTCTCTAAGTTCTTGGAAAGTGTGCAAAGAAACCTTTTGCTCAGTTTTACGAATTAACATTGCCAAAGTTCGACAACATATGTAATAATTGGCAGTTCTACTTGCTGCTTCATAGATTCAAATGGCGTCAATAACATCAAGGGTAGCAGCAAATCAGTCGAGTTTCAAAGGAACAATGGCTCCGAACAGTTCATCTGCACAGTTCTTGAGTATGGTGGATCTGAATTACCTGCACGATGAGCTAATGCTGGTCGATACCATTTCTAAATACATTGCGTTGATCTCGATTATATTAAGCACATCTGGTAACATCCTTATCATCGTCTGCCACATAAAGTTACAGATACACTCCTCGTATAAATGCTTGATAGTCAATCTGGCCATAAGTGATTTGCTGTATTCAGTGATGCAAATATTTCGGGTTCACAGTAGATTCCGCTCCAGCGAGTGGCACTTTGGGAGATTTCTATGCAAGATGATGTTACTGTCACCGAGCTCACTCACTTGTTCCATGTTTACCATGAGTTTTATGGCTGTAGATCGTTTTATAACGATTGTATACCCATTTAGACCCCGTTTGAAGATAAGAAAGACAATTATTGTCACCACTTTGTTGTGGATTTTTGCTATCAGCATACATGCTCCCTTTGCAACGAAACGAGACATAGTGCTGCGCAAAGGCAAGACTATGTGCTTATACACATGGAACTTCGGAGACGACGACAAGAAGCTCTACCATCTTGTCAGCTTCAGCGTAACATACCCCATACCGATACTGATTATTCTGATATCGTCAATTAACATCGTTTACACAGCTTTAAAAGGGGTACCGAAAACGGCTGGGAAAATGCATTCAGGAGGAGGTAAAAGTGTGAACCCATTCAAAAAGTACAGAAAACTTTTCCTGACGTTCATAGGCATTTTCCTCGTATTCATAATCACAACAACACCGAACCAAGCTTTGATTTTGTGGTTGAATTTCCCATCGAAAACAAAAACTTCTTTTCGCTCTGCACGCTATACATTCTTCATCCTCTACATGTTTGCTCCATTAGTCAATGTACATGCTTGGATGAACCCTCTCATATACAGTTTCTCGGATGAAAAGTTCAGATCGGCATTGGTTCAGATTGTATCCTGGATATGGTGCAAAACCGAACATGATAAACCTGGTGAAAGACTTTTGAAACAGACGCCCTACGAGAGGCACGACATTAATCAAGAGTGGAATCAACGAAACTCTGAAACAAAGACAACGGCCAAGGTTTAGACCGCAGTTATAGGGACTGGCATAGGAGCCAGGGACAGAGAAAACTCACATGTTCCTTACTTTCTGCCAAAGTTGATAATTATCTTTTTATTGATGAGCATTGCCTCTCTTAAATTTTCTAACTCTCTAAGTTAGAAATTTGGAAAATGCTGTCTTGCATTGTGATTTATTTGTTTCTGTGAATTTGGTCTCTTATCGACTCGAATTCAAAAATTGGAAAATAAGATAAAGAATTGTCTAATGCTAATTGGTGACATATTTGGAGAAAGTTCAGATCTATTGGACATAGACTCAAAACACACGGCATTATGAAATTATGAAAATAAGTTCTATACGAAAAATGTTGGAACCAAAACCGATTTGCTTATTCTAATAAGTATGTAAATAAGCGGAGAACATGTAGGGTAGATTTTTTAAACACATTGCATATTACAAGAAGAATTTAAAGCATTCTTTCTTCTTTTGGAGATAAAATGGACACAGTAAAGGAAAGAAAAGGACAGTCTAGGAAACGAACTAGCTAGGAAAGGAACTGTGGCCAAAATTTTCATCACGTTTGCAGAATTATGAGCTTAATTTCTTTCAAAATGTGGCATTATTGGCATGCAAAATAAAGCACGTTCCCTTCAGATGGCCGATCGTTTTTGCAAAGTTTGCAACAACTCTCAAAAAAGCATCGTTCCCGTCAGTCTACTTTTCATGGCGTTTTAACAAATCATCGGAGTCAAATGTCACTGAATTCAAATTCAATAAAGTTTCCGAAACGGAGGTCCTAAAACAAATTGCTGTCGGAAAACCAATTTGGATTTCGCAAATACCTATCGACTGAAATTGCTACAGCTTACTTCACTGATCAAATCCGAAAGGCAATGGACAACGGCCATTACACCGGTGCAGTTTTCATAGACCTAAGTAAAGCTTTTGATACCATCAGCCATTCTATCCTGGTCGACACTCTCCCTGAATATGGCATCTCAGGGAAGGCTCAGGATTTGTTGTGCGACTATCTGTTCTCAAGATCACAACAGGTCTCGTTTCAAGGAAAACTGTCATCTGCGGAACCAATATTCTGTGGCGTCCCTCAAGGATCAAGACTCGGACCGCTCCTGTTTATCTTGTATTTCAACAGTGCAATCAAAACACTATCACATTGCAAAATGCTGATTTTTGCCGATAATACAGTCTTGTTTTGTTCTGGAAAGGATGTAGGCGATATCCAAAAACAGTCAAATGCCGACTTTCAATCATTTGCCTGCTGGCTTGACAAAAATGAGCTTATCATAAAAACCAAGAAAGGCAAAACAGAGGTTATGGTGTTTGGTACTAGCCAAAAACTCAACAAGCTTGAGGAGACACCTATCCAAATAATGCATAGGAACAAAGAAATACAAAACACTAAGACCTACAATTATCTAGGTCTCAATCTAACATGCAAACTTAACATGTCTGATCACTTGAATGAATCTATTAAGAAGACTTCTGCTAGACTACACCTACTGAAAAAAATGCGAGCCTTCATGGACAGAAAAACTAGTACTCTTGTCTACCAAACAATGATAACTCTTCTTCTGACGTACTGTTCATTCTCGCTATATGGTGCAACACCCCCATATTTATTTGGTTTGGTTTTGCAATCCAAGACTTTCTACTGGTAAAATATGTCACAAACCCTACTTTGTATGTTCCTTTTACTCCTTAGGCCCCTCTCCATAGCTTGCTTACATTTTCCCGTAGGCTCATTCATTTTAAGATCTTCTGTTTTGCTTATCATTATTGTAGGCATCCCCTTGCCGCACGTAAGCAAGTCTCGATATACAAGTCACGTAAGCAAGTCTCTTTGTTTTGCTCATAGGTCGGGATATAGACCGTAATGCTTAGTTTAGTCATCGTTGTTTATTTTGTTTCTCTTGTATCACAGATATCGTTTACATATGTTTTGCTTAGTTTGGCGTCTTTAAGCTTGTTTTAGCATACTTATTCAGCCCTTCCCTCCCATTCCCAGGGCCGGCGAAACCGGGGGGGGGGGCGAGGGGCCAGCACAAATTGACAATAGCTTGCAAAATAACTTGGTGCCAGCAAAAAGAGTTTCGTTTTTTCCATTGCCTAGATTTGGCACACAAGGTCTATTTGTTAACGAAAACTTTCTCAGAAACATTACAAAAGGAGAGAAATCAGCTGTTAAAGAAAAAGAACCAGCTGGAAAAAACTTTTTGAGGATATGAGAAGTTTGATCGTTTGGATAATCCATTCCTACTAAGAAAGAGAAAATATCGACGCAATTATAATTCTATTTAAATTCATTTTGACAAACCCAGTTTGAAGGCTTTTCAAACTTTTGTTAAAGCATTTAATTTCCGAAAAAGTAAAGATCAGATGTTACAAAGTTATATCTTAACTGTACAAAATTGCTTAACTTTTTATTTTTAGTTGATAGTTCTTCTTTTGATATTTCAACGTTGATGTTTTTAATTAATCCGTGTTTCATTTATTTTCCTCCCCCATTTTATTTCGGGTACTTTTAAAATCTAAAAAAGAATTCATTATTTCTATTTCAAGTCAACATCACAATAGATACAGTTTCTGGCCATTCCTTAAACACCATGATTCTAAAATTTTCCTTTCCGCCAGCCATGGTGGAGCCCTTTCAAGACTTTTATATTTTGGTCCCTCCACTTTCAAATACGTTTCGCCGGCCCTGATTCCCATGTTTTCGCGTCGTACTTTTTACGTATTTTATGTCGTTAATGAAACTTACTCCTGTTTTTCTTATTATATACCCTTATATATCCTTAAAGTATATATACAAACCTCGTAATGTTTGAAGGGGGAGAATGAGTTGAAGTAGCTGAAAGAAGTATGTGAACTTTCTGTGTTTGTGCTATCTGAAGTTATACGGTGTGTGACAAATAGTAAGCACTCCATTTGCTTGCATCAAGCATTTTCACGAAATTACACCATGAGTAATGCCGATTCGCATGCCACGTGCAAATGTATATTCACGCATTCACTCATATGAAAATTTGTTTCACGAATTCACGTATCGAAAATACGCCGATCACGCATCACACTAAATAAAATACCTGGTACCCCTGAACTAGGCCAATCAGAAACGCGAGCACATGACTGTTGAGGTTGCCCAATTAGTGCCGTTTGCCCATAGAGAATATTACCAATAGAGTTTTCAGGTGAAAACGAACTCCTTTTGTCTTCACGATAGCGTTTTTTTGTGCTTATGTAATGCCTGCCAAAAGTCTTGGAACACTGACTTCAATTTCCAAGGTCAAAACCAATCATCCCCTCTCCCCCACGGAACAATGTTGGTTTACTATCAAACGGGTTAGGATTTTAGGAAGCACTTTCTTTTGCGCTTCTTTTATGATATTTCTCTAAATCATCAACATTGTTTTAGGGGAAAGGGGGCGGAAGTAGCAAGTTTTTTTCATGAAAGGAATGAAAGATATCAAATGCAGCGTAAATTGGTGGGTGTTCCAAGAACTTTTGGCTGGCATTGTAGATAGATTCCAAAACTGCTAGATGGAACGACGATCGGGCTTTACCAATAATCCAAAACATGTCGCCATGAGAGTTTTTTGCACAATCTGGGTTTTCCAGTAAACACCGTCAGTAGTTTTGTACAACCACAAGAATGTTTGAAAAAACAGACTATAGATCCCCAAAATAACGACCGGTACCATCACTGTTACTGCCAAGGATTATGCTCTACCTTCCCGTTTTCCTTAAAATTAAAATTATTTACGTTCAAAGGTGTTTCAGATTTTCCAGTTTATAAACACTTGATAATGATTTTTCGCCTGAATTCGTTGCTTAATATCGCAAGTTTCATACAAGTGTTTGTACGGCACTTCTCCGTTCTTGCCGTGCAAATGAGATTTCTCCCGGTTTCACTTCCTGTGGTCAAAGCTGCCTCGAGTTCACTCTCTATTGATTCTATTCATGGTCATTGGTTTTCGCTGATATACAGACAATGTTCACATGTTTTTCTCTGTGCGCAATATGATTGGCCAACCGCTTGAGGTCAGCCACTTTTACCTTGCAGAGGCATACTCATGGAAAAACTGTTATGACCTGTAGTAACAACTAGTAATTCACGTGTATGTAGGCCATCTTTTAATCACTCACAAACTACAAAAGTCCCGGATGAGGAGAACTGGGTCTAGTAAATTATGTTACTTAGAATAATAGGATATGACAAAAACATATGTTGCAACTTAGCTTTTAGAGATCAAAAGGCTTGTTTTTTCAGAAGTAAGCAAGAATATGCAAGCTAAACACCTGTTCTGTAAATGACACTTCACAGTTTCGTGCGACTAGGTGAGGAAACGTGATTTTGCGTGGTGACATGGAACAGATAGGCAATTTGAATTCAGCATAAATAGTAACATTTAACGCCTGCTAAGTATCTGTTTACAATGAATCAAGTCTTATGAAATTGACCCTGTAACAGTTTTTCTAGTAGATAGAGCAATTCTTTCAAGTTACAATTTCATTATCTGAAGCAAATTGTGCAAAACAAAATATTCCTCAAAATAATCAATCAAAAGATTGAAGGTGCGAAACAAACGTGAGAGTATGACGTACAAATCAGCTGAGAGCTAAGATAAGATATCCAAGTGATAACATTGAATTTGACTACTATGAAATACCCTGGGTACCAGAGCCATTCTGAATTCTTTTCATTGTCGATCTTGATTGCTGGGATGAATATTTTGCTATCTATTAATGAGCACTGCTATTTTTATTGTTTCTCTACAGACTTTGGCACCCTATAGACTAGACTGCTGTCTCCTGATTGCAGCTTATAAGGGTCCTGTTCTAAATATCGAATCTTATAAATTGATATTTTAAAAATATTACAGCTCATAGTTTGTCACAACTACCGCATGTTTTAAGGTTTAGTACATTATAAAAAGGGACGTTTGATTGCTTCTTATTTTTTCGCATGCAACATTTAATAAACATTACCTGAAAATCTCTTTGTTAAAAATATTTATGATTTTATGTATGCATTTCAGTTATGCTTGATGGCCGATGCAGCTACAAAAGCTCGATTTGATCATCCACAGAACATAGGCCCTTCAACATCACAGTCTTTTAAGAAAGCGATGATCTTGTTTGTGAAGTTGTTGTGACGAAAGTGATTAGTTATTGTGAAGACTCAATATTCTTCTTTTGAATAGTCTGAGGCCCCAGTCTCCGTTATATTATTTTAACTTTACAATTGGCTTTTCAGGAACAATATACTAAAATTGTTTCTCAGTTCATTTGATACAATTTTACAAGACATTTTTTAGAGACACTGTTAATTGGCTGATAAAGTACGTCAAATTTTTATGTTGACATGAGAGACAATTTTATAACATATATAGCTTTCTTAATTTCTATTAGAGGCTTAGGAGGTTTATACAATGTTCTTTTTTTGGAAAATAAAGCCTAAGTTCTGCTATAAAGTTTGTTCTTATAAAAAAAGTGTAATGACCTTTCTCTGCACTTTCTTTCTTTCATTACCTTTGTCTCTTGTGATGAGATAATTTTTAGGGTTCTAGATAAAATGAAACTTCATAGTTGAAACTTATTTTATAGTAGAATGATTCATATACGTATTCTAAAGAATGGTCTCTAAAACTTTTACTTAAAATGCTCTAACTATTGTGCTAGTAGGCCAAAAGGATGAGCCTTGCAGTAGATGAAATATAAATTTTGACTTTACAGGTTGGGAAAATTTGAAGCTGTAAGCAAGTGTAGAGGTCAGCAGATAGATCATGGAAACTTTTCACACCATTTTCTTTTCAAGAAAGCGAGAAATTTGTTCCGAATAAGAATATTTCTCTATTTTGCAAGAAAAATATAACACGGAAGCCAAAAAAGTGTATTCACATCAGATTGCAACTTTTAAGTCTATTTCTGGAAGGTATAAACAAGCAGCTTGCGAAATTAGCTTGGTCATTTGAAAGTTTTTTTCTTGAAGTTAAATATTATAAAAGTATTATATCAGGGGGCTAACCACGGATCCCTGTGGAAATCCATTTGATTATTTTTTCCAGCTATGAAAGATGTTGTGACGTTGCTTTTGATAAAGTGCTGCCTATTTTGACCCTAAAAGTAGAAAAGGATTAAACAACAAGGATTTTTAGTCGTGTGACCTAACAGTGCGTGGGAGAAACAATCAGGACATGTAAGAAGACTAAGAAAAGTAGTGCTAATAACTTACTGGGAAATAAACAAGGAACAAGGGGAGAACAAAATATTCAATGGAAGAGGAAGGGAGTCAGAATGAAATCATGGGAATAGATGTCGGCTCAGTGGATAAGAAGGCTTTTATGAATGAGCAAGTCAAAAGCTTTAATTGTTTTCGAGAAAATAGTGAAATTTTCAAGTCCAGTTTTACAAATATGTTCATGGATGGAAAAGGGGGCAAGGGGATTCTAACATTTTCCCCGTGATTGTTAGTTCCCAAGTGCCGGAATCAAAAGCGAATCAAAAATTGCACGATGCTTTTCACTTGTAAGTGCGTGGCGCCGCAGCCACTACACGTTGAACTTGCAAATAACATTAGAGCACAAAGACGATCCTAAAAGACTGGGCGATTCTTAAAGACAAATGAATTAGATATAGACTTTGGCGGTATAAATTCAAACCTTAACTTAAAGGTGAACTGACATGCAAAATTAATTGACCTCAAATGAAAGCATATCGAGTATGAATACCTGAGACATAGTCAGCTTTATAATATTCAACACAGTTTTCGAGTTATTGGGCGTCAAAGTTAGCCACCGAATCATTTTTCGAG